ATGAGTATGATTCTTTAATGATATAAGAATTATACCTTTTTCTTTAACACTGCTTCTTAAAGTCTCTAAACAGCTGTATCTTTATTATAGTTAGTGTATAAGAAGGTTTAGAATACACTGTTTGTAACAATAGGATCTATAAGCAGAAAATCTGCATAGTAGAAATTTTAAGTTTAGTGAAGTAGTACAAATTTTAACAGTCAAGCTAGTTAATATTTGATTTAATAAAAAAATCTGAATATAAAAAATGCAAATTGAATAGATGCAAAAAGTCTGCTATATAATGTAACTAAATACTTTATATAAGTAACAATACTAACTTAGCTTAGTAGCTAACTAGATTAAGAGATTTACTTCATAAAATATTTAGTTAAAATCTCTGAAGACTAATCTAGTAGAGAGCTATAACAAGAACTGAGTTTATATAAATATTGATAAGAGTAACTATAAGTTTTCAATTAAGTAAATACTGTAATATAGAGAGTAATCTAAAATTCAGGATATGCTAATAAAAACTCAAAATAGTATAATACATCAAGCTAGTAATGATAATATGAAAAACAAAGATATAACAGTTCTTTAAAATATTAATTATATAGTAGTAGTATATCTGTATTATAAAATCTATAGCAAGAAGCAATTTATATTGCAAAATATATCTTAGATAAATCTTACTAATATATGAAAATACTAATAAACAGAAATTAGTATATATATATTTATATCTGATACTATATTTAGATGAGTTTATATCAGAAAGATACTATTAAAGTAATAATTCAAACTCCACCAAATTAGGAGTAGTTGTGAGATTATGAATACCTTATCTAGTTACTAATTTAGAAGTTATTTATAAGAAGTATAAGAGATATGATGAATATAAAACAGTGATCTTATAAGAGATAAAGTATTTATAAGAATTTAGATAATATATAGTATAAGCTATAGACTGCTCTAGTAGGTCTTATATAAGAATAGATAGTATATATATTTAGTACTATATGTTCTAAACTTAAATAAGAATATATAGAGTTAGTTTAAAATTATAATATATATATTAGTTGTAATAAATAATATAATTCTTAATAAATGAAAGTTGAGCTAAGTACTCACCTTAATATTAAAAAAAAAATAATAATAATAATATACTTCTAATATTTAATTGATTTGATACAACTTAATTTACAGAGTTATAACTTTAAAAATAAATAGGATTTACTAAAAGTTAAATATAAAAATTTGAGTAATTATTTAAATTTATTGATAATAAGATTTGAACTACAGATTTCTTATATAATAGTCTAGTAATCTAATTATTAAACTAAAATTACTAAATCTGTTATAGCTTAATTTATATTATTAAAAACATATAAAATTTAATAATAAATATTTTTTTTTTGTTGTTAAAATAACTTATATTACTAACAGAATTTTATTAGTTTTATATATAAAATTATATATTAATAATTTCTACTGTTTGTAATTATATAAAAAATATACAACAAACTATATATATAAGTAATTTACTATATAGATAATTAGACTACTTGATTAGTTTTATATTATGTAATCATATTTGTAACCTACTTATAAGTTACTTATTTAAACATTCTTTTTATTAATCTATACAGATCTATCTCTAATATCATCACAACTAATGATCCTAACTGATAGTGAAAAAATCAGCTTAGCCAAAAAATCAACTTAGCCAGTTAATTTTTTTAAAAATCAGCTGATCAATTTTATTATGACATTCCAAGATAGAAAATAAACGAATTTATAGCTGTTTTCATAAATTCTGAAACATCTAGCAAAAAATGATCCAAACAAATATTGTCGGTTTGATAAGTTTGTGATTCGGTAGTGATACACTTTTGATTTGAATGTGAATTACAGTAATTCACATCCAAATCAAAAGTTTATCACTACCGAATCACAAACTTATCGAACCGACAATATTTGTTCGGACCATTTTTTGTCAGATGTCCCAGAATTTATGAAAACAGCTGTAACTATATTTATTATCCGGGTTGGTTTTTTCAAAAATATGTAAAAAAATTTTTATGTTTTTTATATAAAATTTTTTGAAAAAAAAAAAATTAAAAGCCGGGTTGCCGGGTCACTTTTGAAAATTTTATGTTATGAGAACCAAAAATACCAGTTTGTATAGCCATACTTATTATTATTATTTACTGTTACTGTTCTAGAACACATATTTATATTAGTGTTTAGGGATGGACAAGTCTGATTAGACCAGTTCATTAATGTTTTTCAGTCAATAGTCCTTAGTTATTTAAACCATCTTATTGGCTAGTGGAGAGAATTGAATCATGACAGTAATCGATTATGTAATATATTTTTTAAAAAGACTGGTTCGGAGGACCGGGAGACCAAATAACTGTGAGACTAGTTAAAGACTGATCCTTATTCGGTCTTTCAAGGACTTGGTCCATCCCTATTTGAGAACTCTGAGAACACCAATTTCAGACGATATCTGTCGCGTAATACGACATCAAATTACTTCACATTTGGTATTATAACGTAATATATGCAGATTTATAAATCTAATCGATTTACATAATTTTTTTCGTTTTTTTTTTTTGATAAAACCAGAGAGGGCTAACGTGAGAGATAATAGTTGTACTACTACCACTACATGTATCATTCAATTTAGAAAATAAATAATTCTTTTTTCATTGAATTGATGAAATATTTGAAAACTTTATTATACATAGCATATACATTATTTTTTTCTAAAGCCAACACACCAATTCTACTTGTACTATCTATATATACACACATATATACAGTATTATTTTTTATTCCTTGATTTCAAAAAAATAATAATAATAATAACGATATGGATGATGCAAATAGATCAGCCTTTGATATTTTTTTAGTGGTATAATACTACTTGGTTACAATGCGCTATTTGAACTAATGTATCTTTATATTTTATATAGAACTATTGATACCCCTCTTATATGTGTTCAACAAAAATAAATACAGTAGAGAATACCTCATTCCCATTTTTATCTATTTATTTTTAAATTTCTTGCCTATATACTACTTTGAATTATTCTTGAAAAAAATAAATGTCTTTAATTCAAATACAATACACGTAAATATAGCTGTCTTTATTAATTTTCCCCTTTTTTATCTAGAAGACGATATCATTGGAGTATTAAAGAGAGTTCTAACCCATCTGATATTTTTTTTTGGGATTTTATTGCTTCTTCTTGGAATATTGATAATATCTTAACTATTTGTATAGATGGTATAGATTGAAAAAAGAAAACAAGAAAGAAGAAAATTACATTTTCAGTTATATCATATTTATAATTTTTATTATGTGTCTTTATAAGTAGTATTCTTTATCTAATTATAATTCCAGCAGATGAAATTTACATCAAAATTGGACTCAATATAAACCTGTTGATGCTTATTCGTCTCTCTGAGATAATTGAAGAGAATCTGTATACAACAAAAAAATCAGATAAAAAAAAAATCAGATTTTAAGAACAGAAGTTTAGTCAGTGTCATACTTTTCAATATTAATGAAGATATAGATAAAGAGAAGAGAGAAGAGAACATTGGGGTTAATATGCAGAAAATTGACAAAAATTGAGGTTACATCCTCAGGTTTCTTTATTAATGTCAAAATTCTTTACGCAGCGTTTCTTATCTCATATGAATTTTACTAAAACGCACCTATGGTGTTTTACACCTATGCACACATTATATCAAAAACTGGCCAATTACAGTACGAGGTGTTCTAAGTAAAAATGTTCTACGCCTCTGAAACCCCTTCCCAAACCCTAATACTAACTTAAAAACTAACCCTAAGATGAAAAAATTTAAGTCAAAAATTTCTATAATAAAACTTATAAAAACTTAGAAAATTTAAAAAACATAATAAAAACATATAATAGGTGAAAAACACCATAGGTGCGTTTTATAATAATTGATCTCATATTTACAATTACAATTATATAAAATGTGCCTATTGCTATACCTGTATACTTGTATACCTGATACAATCTACAGTATATATTCGTGTTTTTTAAAGCAATTAAACCAATAAGATCCTGGTGCTTCTAAAACTGAAACATATATAAACTGCGTGCATTGTCGCTTCACTGGTAATTTGAATTTATCAATTAGGGTAGAACTAGGAACGTCTACGTATGCATAACGGATTTTACTAGCTTGCAACTCAGGTTCACCCAGTCCTATTATTATTTAGCTATGATTCTAGTTCATTAGTAAAATTCATATAAATTCTATAAGAAATTTATTTATATAGTATTGTGCTATTACATATATAAGTTTTGTATAATGCTCGAATGCATAGTATCCATATTATGCTGGATTTTTAATATTGTCAAAGAAATCGCATATCGTAAAAGGTGAAAAATATATTTCATAAAGATTCTAAACGTTTATGAAAATGTCATCAATGATACATATACAAATCTTAAATGGTGCTATTCTTGTTCAGATCGTCATTCTTGTATTAAAAAGTAGAAAATGAAAAAGGTGACGATTATATCTTGAAAAATATATCAATTCAATTATGACTTTTTTACTAAATATCTTTGGTATACATTTTCGCTAACTTTGATCATATCCCAAATTTAAAGGGTAATGAGTAGAGATGTACCTCGCGAAAGATCAAACTAGCATATATTCACAACCTCACGCAAAGTTACATTGCTTGATTTTGCGCGATTTTTTGTGAGATATGTAAAAAAACTTATTAATAATATAGTATGACATAATAAGAACGTAGTTATTTAATATTATTTAATTGATAACTCGCTGATTATTAAAATTATTTTAATCGAATAATTTTACTTCACGCTCTTCTTGCGCGGATTATATCGATATGGCTCTAACATTTTAAAATCGACCAATAAAAAATTTTGATACACGTGTCACAGGATAAAGTTTCATATGTACTATGCACCAGTGCAGATAATCCTAGCTTTTTTTTAAACATGACTTATTATTTTGCAATAATAGGAACAAAAGATAATCCAATATATGAAACAGACTTTAGCCTCACAAGTGCAAAAAGTACTGGTATTGATCCAAGTTCAAGAGTAAATATTTCTTTTTTTAAACAAAATTATTTTAAATAAAGAATAAATAATATTAACTATTTTTATAATAAAAGAAAGATGAAAATCGACATTTAAATCAATTTATTGTACATTCTGCCTTAGATCTTGTAGAAGAGTTACAATGGCATTCTAATACTATGTACATTTTTTATCAATTTAATGCTTTTTTGACGGGCTAAATAATAATAAAATAAAATAAAATTATATATTTTGTATTCAGGTACTTAAAATCTGTTGATAAGTTTAATGAATGGCATGTATCAG